CATTTGTAGACAATCTCATATCGCCAAGAGCCATTGCAGAGCTCATACGACGCCTCTTCAAAGGATTATAAACTGAAACCGTGGTACTTCTTGGACTCTCAACTATCGTAGACTTCATAAGGCTCCAATTAATTTCACGTCGAAAAGCTTTGTGAGCTGACTTGCTGCTCCAACTCTCACGGTCATGTTTTCGAATGGCAATAAACAAATTAGACACAGATGTATCTAGCAACCAATAAAAGAGAGGAAGCCAGGTCCTCACACCACGTAAATGACAACCGTAGTTAGATTGAAGCTGGTCTGAGATATCAACGCCACCCATATGATGATTGTAGTCATCAACAACTAGTGGGATATCCAGTTTCTTTCGAGCACTAGAACCAAAAACGTTTCTCACCTTTTTTGCATTGGTTGCGGTCTCCCTTGGCTTTCTCCCGTTTCTCACAACAGTGTAGCCAGGACCAACTGGATGAATAGTTGACAACATCAAAACAGCTCCATTATCAATCCAACAAATACAGTTCACGTCGTCGGTCACAACTGAACCAATAGTGTCCCATTCCATTTTAGAACTAATTACACCTCTTACCTTGAGAGCGGCAGGGAAGCCTGAAGTATTTGCTCTTGTCGTTCCTGCACATCCGACGTTCTTACATCTTAACATCTTAAACAGAGCCACACTTGTGAGCAGGTTGTCCATGTAGACTTGGTACATAACAGGGTTATCATCGTTAGTAGCAGGAAGACTTTACACTAGTCGTGCCACCACAGCAGATGAGTACATAACCTTTCCTTTGTATGCTTCCATTTCTTTCCATTTGTATTTGTTGGAATGAGTAAAGAACTCTTACACATATCCTCTTTCGCAGAGAGCCCATATCTTAAACCCTTGTCCAATTGGCTTGTTCCTAATACGGACTGTCTCTGAACAGCGTCCCATACAGGTGATCATCATTTCATCTACAGAAGCACGGCACCCTGGTGTCCACAAAGCCTTTGATGCTTCCCTGACATGTGTGAACAAAGGCTCTACCTTGTTAAAGAAAAAAGACTTGCCATTGTCTGTGGTGGGGTCACAAACATGCAAGAAGCGCTTAATTTGTTCAAAGCGCTGCAGGGACATTATTTGTGTTACTGGATGGGTTGGTGTGTCTTCATCACGGCACCAATAGTCGTCTATTCTTCTCTCTTTATGCAGTCCCATGTAAAGAAGTATGCCAAGAAAAGCCTTTAACTCCTTAAGACCGATTGGTGACCAAGGTCTTTTGTTAGGTGCATCTGCTTGTTTGAGTTCTGCGTATCTGTTTGCATTCATAACAATCTGTTCACGAATTTTGTCAGAAAAGAATCGCTGAAAGACTGACATGGCTGTAGTTTTTAACTCTCTGTCACGAAGTTTGGGTTTGCCACATTCTTGTATTCTGGTATCAGGGAATTCCAATGGTTCAAAAGATGGAATCACTGATGGGAACGGTGGCTGTTTATGAGGTTTGCGAAGCGGTCGCTCTGACAAATCACAGTCCTCTTCAGAGACGACGCCATCTTCAGTGGTGCTTGCAACATTAGATAGTGCCTGCGAATACAGTCCTTTGTCATGTCTGACAAGAACTGTTAAGGGCATGTCGTCATCGCTGGAATACAGGTCTTCTGTCTCGTGATCAGATGACGACATTTTGGCTCAAAGAAACCACACAGACAAAGTTGATTAGGACTTCTCTCAGTCCAAAGCCTTCGGAGAGATGTGACAATGGACTTCGAGATCGCATGGCAGAGCCAGCAAGAGCCAATCTGATCTCGAAAAATTGTGGAAATTACACGTGTATGCTTACTGTTGGAAGGTAAATGATATTTATTTCATAATTGACTTATTTATGGGGCATGAGACTTTCAGAAACGGTTCAAACCACCGTCTTTACCATTTGTACAGATGTAATGCTCTTAAGGAGGCGGGTGCGAAGATGTGTAAAATGGGGAACCCAAGCATACCTCTTACCTTGCACATTTTTTCCCTATCTCCTCCCGCCTGAGCACCCCAACAGTTAACATAAGGTGGGGCGACCGGGTCGCCACCGACAACGTAATCCCCAAAGACTCCGCGCACAAACACTCTAGCCGACCTACGCATGCGCGCGACCAGCCTCATTACTCGCGTCATCACAAACAAGACACCGACTTACCCGCAATGCACAACCCTAGTACGTCCATGCAGCATGGAGGAGAAGGTGCTGAACGCAATGCAGCCAAGACTGTGGAGCTATACGAGCGAGCAATCGACAAGGCTGATGACGTTACTGCGATGGTCAACCTCGGGGTCCTGCTCGAAAAAGGCGCGGAAGGAGTAGAGCGCAATTCGGTACGAGCGAAGGAGCTATGGGAGAGGGCGATCTACATGGCTGATGACGTCAGCGCGATGACCATGCTCGGATGGATGCTGTACAAGGGCGCAGAAGGAGTGGAACGTAACGCGATTCGAGCAAGGGAGTTGTGGGAGAGGGCGATCGACAAAGCTGATGACGTCAATGCGATGGACTTTCTCGGGAACCTGCTCAAAAATGGCGCAGAAGGGGTAGAGCGTAACGCAGTACGCGCGATGGAGTTGTATGAAAGAGCAATCGAGAAGGCTGATCACGTCGGTGCGATGTACCATCTCGGAGTCCTGCTCCAAAATGGGGCAGAAGGAGTGGAGTGTAACGCGGTACGCGCGAGGGAGTTATACGAAAGGGCAATCGAGAAGGGTGATCACGTCAATGCGATGTTCAACCTCGGATTCCTGCTACGAAATGGGGCAGAAGGAGTGGAGCGTAACGCAGTACACGCGAGGGAGTTATACGAAAGGGCAATCGAGAAGGGTGATCACGTCAGTGCGATGTTCAACCTCGGGGTCCTGCTTAAAAATGGGGCAAAAGGGGTAGAGCGTAACGCAGTACGCGCGAGGGAGTTGTACGAAAGAGCAATCGAGAAGGCTGAAGACGTCGACGCGATGAACAATCTCGGGGTCCTGCTCGAAAAGGGCGCAGAAGGAGTGGAGCGTAACGCAGTACACGCGAGGGAGTTGTACGAAAGGGCAATCGAGAAGGGTGATCACGTCGGTACGATGGTCAATCTCGGGATCCTTCTGTATAAGGGTGCAGAAGGGGTGGAGCGTGACGCGGTACGCGCGATGGAGTTGTGGGAGGGGGCGGTTGACAGGGCTTATGATGTCAATGCGATGTTCCTTCTCGGGCTCCTACTGTCTACTGGCGCGGAAGGAGTAGAGCGTGACGCGGTACGCGCGATGGAGTTGTGGGAGGGGGCGATTGACAGGACTGATGATGTCGCTGCGATGTTCCTTCTCGGGCTGCGTTGGTCGGTCTCGCGAACCTGCTGTGGAATGGCGCAGAAGGAGTGCCGCGTAACAGGACACGCGCGATTTGGTTGCGCTTAAGGGCAATGATGGGCAAGGCGTATAACAGCGGTACAATAGGGGGTGTTTGAGAAGCTTCTGTTGTCTATGGACCCGAAAGGAGTGCAATGTAACGCGTTACTAACAAGGTGTGAGACAGGGCGATCGACAGGGCTGAATACGTTGGTGCAATGGTCAGTCTGGGAATCCTCCCAGAACTGAGCGAGGAAGGCATCGAGACAAACGCCGTGCGGGCTGCGACACCGTATGAACAAGCGATGGTGATAGGGAATTCCGGTAAAGCGAGATGCAATCTTGCGATGACAACGAGGGCAGGCACGGAAGGGTTGGCGCGGAAGGCGGTGGTGCATGCGGTGGGGCGGTTCGAGATGGACGTCAACGAAGGCACGCAGAGAAAATGGGTGGTGTGGTTCGGGGACAAGATGTGGGACGGGGCGGACGGCGTGGCTGCGGACGCAAATCGAGCTGCGCGTTGGTATGAGATGGACATCGAAGAAGCCACAAACGTGGAGGCTTTAGCCACACCTGCGGCGTTGGAGCATGTCAGATCGGGCGGCAGTGGGCGGTACGAGCGGTGAGCGCGAGAGGCGGGAGGGGTAAACGGGAAGGAAGGGTGGGGCGGCAAAAGGGGGGGAAGAAGGGGGAGGGGGGACGACGGTGGGGTGGGCGTTGGGGGTGGGCGATGCGGCAGTGCTTCTTTTCAATGGTGTTCAACAGGAAAAGTCGGCTTACTGTAACTAGTGTAAGGCGGCTAAACATTGCGTAAAGTGCTTTCTATTCGGTTCTAAAACTTCAGAAAAATAGAAAACGTGCGCATCAAAGTTGAAAAGAAATAAAATTCGAAGCTTTTTATGTTATGATACTCGGCAGATCCCCACTCGCTGCACGAAACATCAACGTGTCATCGAGGGGCGCATGCACGGCGGCAACGTAAACATGTGAACTCTGCGCTACTCTTCACTCTCGGTACAGTAGTGAACAAGGGCAGGTGGTGAATGTTTGGCGGGGTCGCGCCGTTTGTGAGCATACTGAAGCCATGTCCTACTTGTCCGAAGAAGCGCCGCAGAGTATGGAAGAAGCTTCCGGGATCGCCGCCGAACAGAATCAACCGGCGGGTCCTCAGGAAGATGATGGAGAGGCCATGTTCAAGCGAGGCAACATGCTGAGGGACGGCGGCGACGGAGTTGAGAAGGACGCCGCACGAGCCGTTAAGCTATACGAGAGCGCGATTGAGGAACACGATCATGTCGGCGCGATGGTGGGACTCGGCAATCTACTGGCAGAGGGCGCGGAAGGGGTCAGCATCAATGCACAGCGCGCTGTGAGGCTGTATGAACGCGCGGTGCGGCAATACGATGATGCGGACGCAATGGTGAAACTCGGAAAACTGCTGGTGAAGGGGGCAGAAGGAGTGGAAACGGACGCAGTACGGGCTGTGGAGTTGTATGAAAACGCAATAGACAAACATGAAAATGTTCGGGCGATGGTGAAGCTTGGATTCCTGCTGGAGGAGGGTGCAGAGGGAGTGGAGAGAAATTTGGGTCGGGCTGTCGAGCTGTACGAGCGTGCGATCGAAAAATCTCATGATTGCGACGCGATGTTCAACCTAGCAGATTTATTGAGCGAGGGAGGGGACGGGGTGGCACAAAATTCAGCGCGGGCTGTGGAGCTGTACGAGGATGCAATTAAGGAGCACGACGATGTCGACGCCATGGTGAATCTCGGTTGCTTGCTGCGGACGGGCGCAGAGGGAGTGGAGAGAAATGTGAGTCGAGCTGTCGAGTTGTACGAACGTGCGATCGAGAAATCTCATGATTGCTACGCGATGTCCAACCTAGCAGGTTTGTTGCGCGACGGGGGGGACGGGGTGGCACAGAATTCAGCACGGGCTGTGGAGCTGTACGAGGACGCGATTAAGGAGCACGATCATGTTAAGGCGATGGTGGGTCTTGGAGTCCTGCTGGAGAGGGGTGCAGAGGGGGTGGAGAGAAATGTGAGTCGGGCCGTCGAGTTGTACGAGCGCGCGATCGACAGAAGTGGTGATGTCAGTGCCATTTACTATCTCGGACTCCTGCTGGACGATGGGGCGGAGGGAGTGGAGAGAAACGTGGTTCGGGCCATCGGATTGTTCGAGCGCGCGATCCAGGAAGGGCATCATGGCGGCGCTATGTGCAAACTCGCATTCGTGATGATGAATGGAAGGGAGGGTGTTCTGCTTGATGAAGTCCGAGCTGCGAAACTCTTTGAGCGCGCGATCCTGGAGCACGGTGATGTGCACGCGATGACAGGGCTGGGCCTGCTATTATCCCTTGGCGCGGCGGGAGTGGAGAAGAATGTGATTCGCGCAATAGAATTGTACGAACGCGCGATCGACGAGGCCCAGGATGCCCTTGCTATGGTCGGACTGGCGCTCCTACTGCGGGACGACAGACACGGGGTGCCGAATGCAGCGCGAGCTGTAAAGCTACTTGAGCGCGCGGTTGAAGAGCACGACTACGTCCAGGCCATGGTGCATCTCGGCAACATGCTAGTACAAGGCACGGGGGGAGTGCGGACGAACGCGGCTCGTGCGGCGCGATTGTACGAGCGTGCGATCGAGAAGCGCCATGACCGCGACGCTATGCTTAAACTGGCTTGCCTGCTGCGGGACGGAGCAGACGGGGTTGCGAGGGATGCAGCGCGAGCAACGAGGCTGTTCCAAGCCGGGATGAACGGGCGCGACGGAGGCGGAGCGGTGGAGATTCTCGAGGGACTGGTGCAGGACGCAACCGAGCGGCGCTGAGTCCAGGACGGGGCAGACGGGGCCGGTGCATGGCATCCAACAATCTGAAAGGGGAGGAGGCGGTGGACGACTGCGCGGGTGACTTGTTGGCCGACGTTGCGGGGATCGGCGACGTGGGCACGCCTTTAAGGAGGGAGGGGATGGCATCCTTGGTGTCACGCAGACGGCTGCACAAGCGTTCCGTTTCGGTATGTAGAAAATCTCGTTGATCGCTATCATGCCCTCCAGAGTAATGCCCTCAAGAGTAATGGCTTTGGCAATGGTGCCGTGGGGAGGTACGATGAGCGGCGACGCTGAAGAGGAATGCAAGGCTTGGACATGAAGACATGGGACTGCTAGTGCAATGTACTCTTGTCACAGCTGCGCCCCACTCGACAGCGTCCTGGCCTCAGGGGTTGTCTGGGTCTTGGAGCAAGGCGGGATGACGGCGGAGAGACGAGCGGAGAGACGAGCGGAGAGACGAGCAACGTCTGGGATCAGGGGATGCTGCAGCCTCTGCGCCACGTATCCAAGTGTACACGTAGCATTGGCCCCTGTTGAATTCCACTGAAATCTGTCTGCTGTAATGCGGCGGTTGGCTGAAACAGATCTTCGGGAAATGACAGTAGAATGCGCACCAACTTAGATTTAATTGATAATTACTAAAACGTCAAGCGAAGGATTACGGAGGTGAGGGTCTGGTTAACAAAGGTGGGGCGACCGGGTCGCCATCGACACCGTTATCCCCAAAGACTCCGCGCACAAACACTATCTCTGACCTACGCATGCGCGCGGTCAGCCCCATTACTCGCGTCATCACAACCAACACAACAGCTTGCCCGCATTGGGCGTTGGCGCGGGCAGTGCGGCAGTGCTCCCTTTCTTTTTTGAGGCTAGTTTACAAGCCGAGCATAGAAACATTAGAGTATACGCTTGCGCTTGTGAGAAATAAATATGAGCAACTCTTCAGCAATTGGTTGCTGAAGAGTTAGACGGAAATTGATAAACTCACGAAAAATTTCCTCGTATACGCACGCCAGCCTCATGAGTATGGCGGGAGTAATACACTGCAGGCCTCAACACTTGATCGCCCGCACGAGTCGATGCCAGTCATAATCACCAACTACATGGTGAAACAAACAGACTTTACTCTAGCGGCGTGCCGTATTAGAGCTTTATCTCCGTCTGTGGCTACAGGTGGTATTTGGAGGCGGCGCAGGGCAGCCTCGCGATCGGCATTTTCATCTTCTGCCGTTTTGATGCATCTCACCGGACTATCCAATCCCCATATCTCATCCTGCACCTCGTCTGCACGGCTAAAGTGCACCGTCGCCGACTTCCGCGTCGCCTACGCAGGCACCACTCTCCCGCCGCTGCCGTCTCTGTTCAATCGCTCCTGCGCCCGCCCCGGCACCAGAAACCACGACGTACAGCGAGGCGATGTGCGTCATGGCCGCAGGCGAGCGCCGCGGCGGGGGCAGGGGTGTCGTAGCGGGCGGCGCACGCGTCGAGGGGGGTTGGGTACTCGGCGAGGTGGGAGGCGAGGGGGCGGATGCTTGTGGTGCGAGATGAGACGGTGGGGGACTTGGCGCGCGATGCGGACGTCGTGATGGGCTTGGTGCTCGGCGTGCGCGGTGACACGGAAGTGGGCGTTGAGGGCGGCCTGGGAGAGCGAGGAGGGCGCGGCGGAGGGCAGGAGGGCGCGGGAGAGGGCGTAGGAGCAGGCGAAGCACCAGCCAGACGGGAGGGAGAGGTTTGCGCGGGTGAGGTGGGCGTGCAGGAAGGCGGCGTCGAAGGGGCCGTTGTGCGCGACGAGGAGCGGGGTCCGGCCGGGCGGGGTCACCGACTCGATGAAGGAGCGCAGTGCGGGGACGACGGCGTTGAAGGGAGGGACGAACGTGACCGGAGGTGGCAGGGGCGGATGTAGGTGGAAAAGTGCGAGGCGGGAGGGCTTGGCGGGGGAATCGTGCTCCAGAACGGCTACGGCGCGCCACCATGACGAGCTTGCCGCGCTCGCCGCCGCCTGCGCCCGCCCGGCCTCCGCGCAACGCGCCGTCGCCCACCTCCTCCTCCTCGGCGGCCACCCACTTGCACCGCAGCCCCCCACCCTCGCCTCGCGCGTCTGCCGCGTAGCACGCCACCTCCACCATCGCCCGTTCGTCCCGCTTTTTGCAGGAGCCCTCACAGACGCCCTTGCACAACCACCCCCGCCCCCGCCTCGACCGCCATCTCTCGCAGACCATACCCGTCAAGGCCAACCCGTCTCTTCCTCTACAGTCGCCATGCGCGTGTGCGTTGTTTTTTTGAGGTGGGCGGAGGCAGATTGCTTGCGTGTGAGGTCGCAATGATCACAAATGTGAAGTTCCCGCGATTTGGCAAGACATCTGTCCTCAAATACTTTCTCACTGCTCTTCACGAACTAGTGGATATGGGGAATGTGGAGCTGACATCAATTGCAGAATTCTGCAAAAGAATTTACAGTGTAATGTCTTTTGCTCACAAGTGCTGAAATCATTTCTCATTTTTGCAGGCGTACAGTACAACTCACTAATAAGCATTTTTCTCTAAGCTAAATTTATACCAGCAGCATACAGCATAGAGACATTCCGTAGAATGCTTTCAACTTCAGAAAAATTCGAAAGCGCGTCAACCTACCAAAGAAAAATAGAAGGCTAAATGCTGCAATCAGTAGGGGGACAAGGTCAAAATCTTTTGGTGTCAGGGGGGGACACATGATATTGTATCGATACAGTAGGAGACAGGTGCATTTTGTTTCGATAAAGGGGGGGGAATGACCGATTCCCCCCCCCTAAACTGTGTCCGAGACGAGCAGTCACCCCCTTAAATCGAAACTTTTTCCCATGTCCCCCTCCTGATCGGAACATGCGAAAAAATTCATTGAAACGGGATGGAAATTCCCCCACCTATTTGACCCAGATTTTCTTTGTCCCCATCCCGTTCGTACTCTTTCAGCTCTCCAACCGTACGGTTACCAAGGGGAACCAGATATCTTTCCGTATTTCTGTTATGCCGCCAAAAAGATTGTTCCCATCTACTTTGCAGCTAGCGCTGCGGCACTTCAGCACGGTGGAGAGAGATTGTACACTAATTAGCGACGTGTTCTGCGTTAGAACTTCTCTCAAAGCCATTCGACGCAGCTACCACAAACTAGCCGTCATGGTCCATCCAGACCACCATGTTGCCCGTGCGAACGGGCTGGAGGCTATGGCGGAACGTGAAGAATGCATGAGGCAGCTGTCAAGGTGCATGGTGGTACTGTCACGATGTTGGGAAATTGTGAAGAAAGAACACGAATTACATGAACTTATGCATGGTCCGGCCCCTCAGTTTCATATCCAACCCAATTTAAAGTACACAATTTCGCAAACACGTGCCGAGGAATCCCTACATCGTGAAGAACAAGAAAAAATGTATCGCGAAGAAATGAACGAGTTCAACCAGTGCGTGCGTAGCAATTCCACACCAAGTAATTCTAAGGATGACTTGCCCCGTGATCAGGCAGATGAGCCCTCTTTCCAGTCAGAGGACGAAAATAGGGAAAACGAGGAGATAGATACGCACGCTGCTGCTGACGCTGACTGTGATAAACAGGCCCAAGAGGATAAAGATATGGCCGAGCGAGCAGAACAGCTTCGCAAGGAGAGGGCAGCGCGGGGTATGCCTGCTGACTCTTTCAGTCAACATGGAGGCGACATTTATTCTAGTACTGAAGAGTTGAGCGATGATGAATTGAACTCCTCAAATGGAGAGGCCGAGGAAGGATTCAACACAGATTTCAATCCGGCAGATTACATAGCCGACTATATAGATGTCGACATTGAAAATCAAGATGACGATGAGAGTGCCACATCACAGGATAACAACCATGCCGAAGACTACGATACTGTAAGTAAGAATGAAAGGCGGCGCCAGCAAAAGTACCAGTCCAAGAAGCGGTGCTTGGACCGCGCACGGGTTGCACTACAGGGAGATAGCGTTGCTGCTCGCACATGGAAGCCGCGCCCGGTGAAGTCGATTTTACCAGTCTTGGGAATGGGTCTCATCGCTCGCTGGAAATGCGAGCAACTTGTGAGGGCACAGACAGCTGATTTGGGCGTGCAAAACGGTATAAATATCCACCAAACTCTAGTTAAGGTGGTCATGCGGTGCCGAGTTGAGACCTGCCACGCGACGTTAGTGTTCGATCTCCAACCACGGAGTGGTTTTTGGAAACGTAACAAGTACCTCGAACACGCAAACGAGTGTTTCGGACAGGTAGTGCCGGCCCCTGGAGCAAGCCCGACCAACCGGCGGATAAATCACAACAAAGCATGTGCTCCTGCATATACTGCACAGCAGGTAGCGCGTTGCATACTAGAAGAGGCATGGTGTGAACCTAATATCAACAGCAAGACCATAGCTGCCCTTGTTAAAAGCAAGGGTATCTATCGTCGACAACCACCGTACACGCATTACAGGACCATCCGCAAAGAGCTCCTCCGCCATCTCTGTATATCCAGGGCTGTGAATATGGCCTCTTTAGAAGGCTATGCTCAATTATTGAAGGATTGCGGACATCACGTAGAGCTTATTATCATGGAGGGGCTCGAGATGAAAGCGCAGCGCATCAAATCAGCCAAACATAGATTCAGACAATGCCAAAAGGCAAGGTCGCTGCCAAAGGAAGCTTCTTTTCAAGCCGACACGGTGGATTTGAGCGACATTAACGACAATACGCGTTATTACGGGGAGTTTGTGTTTGTCCCCTCCATCGCCGAGCATATTTGCCGCACTTGTCGTGCTACCACGACTGCCGACGCAGCACACTGCGACGGGGTGGGACCACAAAGCTATGGAACGACATTCGAGGTCCTTGCGTACGACTGTAACAGTCATCTAGTTCCAATTGTATTTGCACATCATGTTGGCGCACAGTGCTTAGAAACGTGGAGTCTGGTATTCGAAACCTGCTCAAAGATCCCAGGCTTCGATGTCGAAAGGAGAACCACAATTGTGGACCAAGAGAAGGCGATCGATTCCGCATTTCGAAAATGCATGAAGAGCGCAAACTTGTTTTTGGACCCTCTCCACGTCAAGAAAAACCTGGCACCGAGACTTGGTGCAAATAAAACTAGCGGTATACAGATGTATGAAAACGCTGTATACGCCCCAGACAGGCAGGCGGTAATGAGGATCAAAGCTGGATACTCAGATGTTCAACGGGACTATCTGGCACGGTTTCAAGACTCAGAACTGTACAGGGCATTTTCAAAACTAGAGGATTTGACGACCTCTTCGCAAGGGGCAGAGAGTGAGATGGCATCAGCTATTAGAAATAACATCAGATCCGTAGAGCCGCAGAAAATGATATCCACAGTACTGCTAACGCAAAGGTCACGCTTCTTGAAGCGACAAATTGCAGCAATTGAGTTTGCCAAACCGGTGCCACCAAATACTGAGAAGCATTTGGCATCACTTGCGCTTCGAGCAAGGGGGTATCAGCGGTCGGTGAGATTCATCTCTGGAACGCGCCAAACTGAGGCAACGGTTCGAAGCCAGACAGACGGTTCAATACTCCGCCGAGTTGTCTTGCGAGATACGCCGCAATCGTCACCGCTATGTTGTAGTCATGCCGAAAAAGGCACTGGATTCCCATGCCTACACGGAGTTGCAGTCTTGAGCGAAAAATTTGGT